GGAGGGGGTTGGCCTGGAAAACGCGGGGGGTGTGGGGGTGGGATGGATCCAGGATGCAAGGGGATGTGGGGATGGGGTCGGTCCGGTGTCCACGGGGGTGTGGGGATGGGGTCGGTCCAGACAGGCATGTGGGGATGGGATCAGTCCAGACAGGGATGTGGGATGGGGTCAATCCAGAACAGACAGGGATGTGGGAATGGGATCAGTCCAGTGTCCATGGGGATGTGGGGAAGGGGTCAATCCAGAACAGACAGGAATGTGGGGATGGGGTCAATCCAATATCCACAGGGATGTGGGGGGATCAATCCAGTATCAATGGGGATGTGGGGATAGGGTCAATCCAGAACAGACGGGGATGTGGGGAAGGGGTCAATCCACACAGGGATGTGGGGATGGCATCAATCCACACAGGGATATGGGGATGGGGTCAACCTGATAGCCACGGGGATGTGGGGATGGGATCAATCCAGTATCCACAGGGATGTGGGCATGGGATCAATCCAGATCAGACAGGGATGTGGGGATGGGGTCAATCCAGTATCCACGGGGATAAGGGGATGGGATCAGCCTGGCACCCAGGGGAATATGGGGATGGGATCGATTTGGCACACACGGGGATACAGGGATGGGATCAACCCAGCAGACAAAGGGAGGTGAGGATGGAATTCTGCAGGGATGTGGGGTGGGATTGTGCAGGGAAGTAGGGATTGGGTGGGCATTGACCTGGGACACACAGGGATGTGAGGATGGGATCAATCCAGCACACACAGGGGTGTGGGGATGGGATCAGTCCAGCACACACAGGGATACAGGGATGGAATCAGTCCAGCACACACAGGGATACAGGGATGGGATCAGTCCACCACACACAGGGATGTGAGGATGGGATCAGTCCAGCACACACAGGGATGTGAGGATGGGATCAGTCCAGCACACACAGGGATACAGGGATGGGATCAATCCAAGACACACAGGGATACAGGGATGGGATCAGTCCAGCACACACAGGGATACAGGGGTGGGATCAATCCAGCACACATAGGGGTGTGGGGACAGGATCCTGCAGGGATGTGGGGTGGGATGCCCATTCCAGAACCCACAGGGGCCCAGGAGCAGGATTGCACCAGGGCAAACCCAGCACACACAGGGACAAAGGGACAGGATCTCCTGGGGATCAGCCCAGCAGCTGCAGGGATGTGGGGATGGGATCCAGGAGGGATTGACCCAAGAGCCACAGGGAGCTGGGAGCAGGATCAACTGGGCACCCACAGGGACAGGCTCCTGTGGGGATCAACCCTTCATCCCCTGGCACAGAGACAGGATTCCATGGATATCTGAGGCTGGGATCCTGCAGGGAGCCCCTGGGATTTGGGAAAAGTGTCTGTGAGGATATGGGGCAGTGATGCCACGGGATTTTGGTGACGTGGTCCTGTAGGGATCCCCTCAGCATCTGTTGGAAAACGTGGCTGTGATCCCACGGGATTCAGGGACGTTGCTCTACAGGGTTCTGCGAGGACCTGGATCTGTGATCCCGTGGGTTTTGGGGACACAATCCAGCAGGGACCACCCCACCCCGGCACCCCCCTCCTCCTGGGCTCCCGCGGTCCCCCCGCGCCCCCCCGGCCCCCCTACCCGCGCCCCTCGATCTTGCAGACGTGCTGGATGAAGGGGCTCCAGTCGAAGGCGCCGGGCTCGCCCCGCGCCCACCGGCCCAGCTCCTCCCGGTTCACCGCCAGGTAATCGGTGGCCACGATCTCCTCGAAGTGGTCGCAGGCGCTCAGCAGTTGGTAGATGGTGGGGCCCGAGCCCACATCGATCAACATCCGCCCTCGGATCTCACCTGGGAGGGGACAGGACATGGCGGGATCCCCACAACAATGCGGGAAAACCAGGCAGGAGCAAAGGAGCTGCCCCCGGCTGCTCCGTGCCTCAGTTTCCCCACCCCACTGAGGGTCCCTGCCGCCTTCCTCTCACCGCTGGCGAAGGTCTCGGCCAGGCATCGCAGCTTCCAGGGCACCACGAACTCCTCGGAGGAGAAGTCGGCGCGGGGGGGGAGGTAATTGTTGCGCAGGTACGCGCGGGGGTCGAAGTGCTCGTAGCCCTCTCGGAGCGCGGCCGGGCTGCTCATGGCGAGGGGCTGCGGCTCCGGCCCCGCCGCCGCCGCTTTTTATCCCTGCCCGGCCCGGGGGGGCCGCGGGGAGCCGCGACGGCCCCGTCCATCCCCCCCGCATCCCTCCATCCATCATCCATCCCGCCTAACCCGGTTAGCGCCAGCGCCCCGGGGCCACGGCCGGATCCATCCCGGAGCTGATAACGGCTCGGCCGCCCTTCCCGGGCTCCGGGGGTCCGGGAATCCTGTCCCCGCGCCTGGGAGATGGTGTCCCCCCACCCCGAGGTGTGGCTGTGAGCCTTCTGTGCTGCCCCAGCTCATGGGATGAGGATGGAGGGGGATTGGGAGAGGGATGAAGATGGAGGGGAACTGGGAGAATGGAGAGGGTGGGAGAGTGGTGAGGATAGAAGGGAATTGGGAAAGGGATGAAGACGGAGGGGGATTGGGAGAGGGATGAGGGTGGAGAAGGATTGGGAGTGGAATGAAGATGGAGGGGGATTGGGAGAGGGATGAGGATGAAGATGGTGGGAGAGGGGTGAGGATGGAGGGGGATTGGGAGAGGGGCAAAAATGGGATGGGGACAGGAAGGCACTGGAATGATGTGGGGTTTGGGATGGGGATGGGAAGGGACAGGAATGGTGTGGAATGGGGGTGGGAGAGGATTGGGATGGGATGGGAATGGAAATGTGGAGGGATTTGGGATGGGGTTGAGAATGGGAAGGGATTAGAACGAGAGGGGGCTTGGGATGGGGATGGAAGGGATGGGAATGATGTGGGGTTTGGGATGGGGATGGAAGGGATGGGAATGATGTGGGGTTTGGGATGGGGATGGAAGGGATGGGAATAGGCCCATCTGAGCTCTCCATCACCCCTGAGCTGAGCGTGCTGGACCTCAGCCCAGCTCTGGCAGGAGCCAGTGCCAGCTCCCAGTGCTCCCAGTGCTCCCAGCACCCGGGATAATGAGGAGGGTGGGACCCACATTTGGGGCTGGGGGCGTTGTAAAACCCCAAATCCTGCCTGTGCCCGAGCTGTAGGGGGGATGTGCAGGGACAGGCGGCTCCTGGGAGGAAGGACCGGGACGGGGCCAGGTCGGGGAGGGGACAGTGCCTGGCGGGGACCCAGGGACAGCGGGATCCGGAGTGGGAACAGCTAATCTGGGCACTGCAGAACCTGGCACCGGGTGGGCGATGCGGGGGGAGGGTGATATAAGCACAAAGCCCCCCCGACCCAGACCCCCCCAGTCCCACAAGGCACCGCGTCCCTCCAGCTGCCGTGCCTCAGTTTCCCCGTGTGCCCCCATCCCACACACGGTCCCTCTCCCCCTAAATCTTGCCCCCCACCCTGGTAACCCCCCCAAAAAGACGCTGCCGTGCCAAGGTAGGCGTTTTATTGCCGTACAAAGACCACCCTGGTTTGTACAACCCCACCGCAGCCCCCCACCCCCCTCCGGCCCCCCTCAGGGTTTCAGCGTTCCTCATCCTCTCCTTCCCTTCTTTTCGCCAGGGAAACTGAGTCACGCCGGGGCTGCCGGGAGCCCCCCGAAGGGCGGGAGCCCCCCGACCCGCGGGGTCCTCATCCCCACCGGCCTCCACGACGCCCGCAGCGGGGTGGGGTCCCAAGTGGATGGGAGCCCACCCCCACCTGCCCCCGCCTTCCTGCGCTGCCTCTTCGGGGCGGCTGAGCGGACCCAGGCCCTGCCACCCCGACCTCCCCCGGCCCCTCTGCCACGCTCAGCCCCGCTGGGCTTCGTGGGAGAGGGAGCGGGAGAGGGTGCGGGGAACGCCCCCCTTGGCACCGCGGAGGTCTGAGGGGGCGAACAGGGGCACGGGGAGGCTGCGGGCGTAGGGCAGGAGGTGCTGGGTCAGGGGCTGGCCCAGGACCCCCACCCGCAGCAGCCCCCAGGGCGAGCGCTGCTCCAGCACCCGCACGGCCCCGCGCTGCTCCAGCGACTCCCGGCGCTGCGCGTCCACCTCCCGCCGGCACCACCTGGGCACGGGGCACTCGTGGGGGTGCCAGCCGGACCCTCACATCCTGCTCTGACCCTTCGGGGTCACCCCACCCTGCCAGGACCCCTAGAGACCCCCCCCCATGTCCCCCCGACCCGTTCAATCCCATGGGAAGCTCTGGAGACCCCCAGGTTCTCCTGTCCCCCTGTGGAACCCCGGCTCCCCCAGCCCCATAAAGACCCCCAGTTCTCCTCCCAGACCCTTCCCAATCTCTCTTGGATACCCCCCCAACACCTCCCTGGATCTTTCCTGACCCCACAGGGACCCTCGGAAACCCCCAAAGCTCCAAGACCCCCTGGAAACCTCCTAATTTGGGACACTCGGAGCCCAAAAACCCCATGGAAGCAGAAAAGTTTGGGACCCTCGGGCTGCCCAAATCCCCATCAGCCCCCTTGGAGTCTCCTACAGCCCCAAACCCCCATGGAAACCCCCAATTCTGGAACCACCCCACAAACGCATGGAAACCCCATATTTTGTGACCCTTGGAGCCCCTCAAAACCCCAAAATTGAGACCCCACAATTTGAGACACTCGGAGCCCTCCACAACCCCGTGGAAACTCCACATTTCAGAACCCTTGGAGCCCCCCACTACCTCGATCCCCACAAAAAGTCCCCCAAATCCTCAAGCACCTGGTGCCCCCAGCACCCCTGGCACCACCCTGGGACCCCCTGGCACCCCTGGGACCCCCCTGGGACCCCCTGGCACCCCCCTGGGAACCCTGGCACCCCTCTGGGACCCCTGGCACCCCCCTGGGACCCCCTGGCACCCCCCTGGGAACCCTGCCACCCGCCTGGGACCCCCTGGCACCCCCCTGGCCGTGCCCCTCACCCGTCCTCGGGCCGGGAGCTGAGCTCCAGGTCCAGCCACTCGGCGCTGAAGGTTTCTCTCCTGCCCACGTCCTCCTCCTGCACACGGCAGCCCAGGCGGGCCGAGAGCAGCCCCCTGGAGCCCCCCACCACGCCAGGGCCCACCATGGTTCCTCTTTCACTTCCCCCCCCCCCCCCCCCCGGGCCCCTCACCCGTCCTCGGGCCGGGAGCTGAGCTCCAGGTCCAGCCACTCGGCGCTGAAGGTTTCTCTCCTGCCCACGTCCTCCTCCTGCACACGGCAGCCCAGGCGGGCCGAGAGCAGCCCCCTGGAGCCCCCCACCACGCCAGGGCCCACCATGGTTCCTCTTTCACTTCCCCCCCCCCCCGTGCCCGCCTCGCTTTTATGGCCCCGCTGGGGCTATTTTGGGATGAGCTGCTGGCACTGAGCGCTGCCAGGGAGGGGGGGGTGGCACCTCGGACACGTGTGTGGCACCCACGGGTGTGTCCCCTCCCCTTCCCGCCTTGGGGACGCGGGGCAGACCCTGCCAGCAACGTGATGGCACCGGCAGGACCCACCCTGGCACGGGCCCAGGGCACGTCTGGCCTTTCCCTGTGTCCCCCACAGCGCTGAGGTGACACGTGCCACCTCCGTGCCAGCCCAGTGCCACCCACAGCGGCCACGCCGCCAACCTCAGAGGGACATTGGGGTCCCCCCACCACAGGACAGGGGTTTGGGGGTGTAGGGACCCCCAAATGGGTGCTTGTGGGGCCAACAGTGGGGTGCCAGTGCCACAGGGCTCATGTGGGGGTGGCTGGTGACAGGGAGGACGTGGCTGGTGACAGAGAGGATGTGGCTGGTGACAGCCCCCAGATGTGGGGGTCCCACCACAGAGGATGAACCCAGGGCTGGAGGGGCACTGGGGGCAGACAGAAATGCTCCAGGTCGATGGAACTGCCGGTGCCACCATGGGGTGGGGTACAGTGCCACCCACGGCCAGTGCCACCCACGGCCAGTGCCACCCACAGCCAGTGCCACCCACGGCCAGTGCCACCCACGGCCAGTGGCCCAAGGAGCCTGGACACCCCCCCTTTAGCACTGGAGGGGGGTCTTCACGGTGACCCCAACCCCTCACCCCCTCCATTCACTGGGTGACAAAAGCCACAATGGTGACACAGAGCTGCAAACAGTGCAAGGCTTTAATTCACATCCCACAGATTTGGGGGGGGGGGCCGGACCCCCAAGACCCCCGGGGGGCTGCAGAGAGCCCGGGGGGGCTGCAGAGAGCCCTGGGGGGGCTGTGGGTGCCCCCTCCCCAGCGCAGCCCCCGCTCTGCTGCTGCTGCTGCTGCTGTTTTTAGAGCAGCACACGGCGCTCACAGGTAGAGGAGCCGCAGCCCCACCCCGCACCCCCAAAAAGGAGCAAAGTCTCCTCTTAAGGCAAATCCCGCGCTGGCTCCGCCGGGAGCTGCACGTTTGGGAAGGAGGGGGCTCGGCCAGAGCCACTGGGGGGGGTTGGGGGGTCCTCAGTGCTGTCACCAGGGTGGGGGGCACAGCCCTGGGGTCACAAATTGTGCCTTCACCCGCTGGTGGAGGGGCACAGCCCGGCACAGGGACCTTGCTGCCAGAGCAACTGAGTCCTCACCGACACGGCCACCACCCCGTCCCCTCTTCCTCACAATTCCTGAGGAATTGGGCAGCAGTGACAGCAACCTGGGGGTGCCAGCTGAGCCCCCAACCCGTTTTTGGGGAGGGGGGGGAGCCTGCCCAGCCCCCGGGGAGGGCAGGGCAGGGATTTGGCACACAACAGTCGGGTCCAGGGCCCCATCACCGGGGGCAACCGTGGTGGGAGGAGGGGCTGAGCCCCCCTGGCCGGTAGTGGGGGGGACCCCTCCTTCCCTGGGGGGGTGCAGGGTCCTGTCCCCGTCCCCAGAGAGCAGAGAGGGCACTGGAATGTCCTCAGGGCTTGGAGCAGAGCTCGGCCACGCGCTGGCGCAGGTGGAAGGCGAACTCGAACATGGTGGCAGCCAGGCTCTGGTGGATCAGGTACCGGGGCAGGCGACCCTGGGGACACAGGACAGGGACACGGGGCCCTGAGGGACCATCTGGAGCTGGGAGCTGCCCCCATCCCACCCTGGGAGGCTCCAGGGACAGGGATACAGGGCTGGGGATTGTCCCCATCCCACCCTAGAGGCGGGGGGTAGGTCCCATCCCACTCCAGGGTGTTCCAGGATTTGGGGCTGGGGGCTGCACCCAACCTGCCCTGGAGGGCTCCAGGGACAGAGGTGAGGGCTGGGCTGGGGGCTGTCCCCCATCCCATCTCAGAGAGTTCCAGGGATGGGGACATAAGATCATGAGGAAGGGCTGGGCTGGGCTCTGCCCCCATCCCATCCCACCTGGTTCCAGGGGTGCAGGAGCCATGAATGAGGGGTGGGCTCCACCCCCATCCCACCCCGTCCCACCTCAGGGGGATCCAGGGATGCAGAAGCCATCAGTGAGGGTTGGGGCTGGGCTCTGCCCCCATCCCATCCCATCCCATCCCATCCCATCCCATCCCATCCCATCCCAGGGGGATCCAGGGATGCAGGAGCACCGCTGTGAGGAGCTGCAGCTCCCAGGGAGCTTTGATCCGGGGGAGGAGCTGCAATGTGGTTGGATTTCTCTAAAAAAGCCCTGCACGACTCGCCCCCCACCGCCTCAGCCTCGGCTCTGTGGTGGGAGATCCATGAAAAAATAATAATCCTTGGCTCTGGGGGGGGAGGGAGCTGAGGCAGGGCTGGGAACAGGCACGGGGGGATGAGTGGCCAGCTATCCCGAGGGTCAGGCAGGCACGGGACACTCTCCTCCCCTGGGACTGGGGTGCTCCAGCACAGATCTTTTCCTGGAGGGGGTTTTCCCTCGGACTCAGGGGCAGGAAAAGTTCGAGGCCGCTGCTCCAGGGGCCATTTCAGCCACTTCCCGACCCAAACACAAACACGTGCGGGATCCTCCCTCCCCCAGGGATGAGCCACGGGCTATAAATACTCGCCCAGGGCTGAAGGGAAGAGCGAGGAGCTGGGTCTGGGCGCTGGCAGAGCCGCTGGGGAAGGCGGTGGCAGCACTGGGGGTTATTATTAGCTCGGCATTCCTTCCACAGCGGAGGCAGCTCGGCCCGGGAAGCACAAGGACAAGGAACCTCTTTTCTTCCCAACACGGGGGGGGGTTTGCTACTCACACCCCCCACCCCGCCCCAAAACCTGCCAGATCCACGGGAGGAAAACACATCCCTGGCACAACGGGCTGGGCACCGGGCTCTGCTCGGCGCTTCCCAAACCTTTCCCGAAGCGTTTGGCAGCAGCCGCCGGGCTCTGGGGGAGGGGAGGGGGCCGTGGGAGGGATGGGGAGGGGAGAGGAGGGGGCAGCAGCGCTGCAGCACAGCCGAGGGATGAATGGAGCCTTTGTGCTGCTGCGGCAGCGCCGTTACCACGTCAACCTTCCGCGGAGGAAGGAACGGGGCCAGCTCCGCTCCCGCTCCCGCATCCGCCCCATCCCGGTCCCGCCGTGCCCGGCCTTTTGTCCGGGACACCGGCAAGGACACGCAGCTCCACAAATAGCTCCGGAGCCGGGGGGGGCTGGCTCTCCCAGGGGTGGATTTTGGGTGGTTGTGGTGGTGCCAAGGGGTTCTGGAGCGGGGAATTGCCGCTCTGGAGTGTTCAGGTACAAAAGTTCCCATGCCTCAAAGTGGTTTTGGTCACTAAGGAGGATTAAAAGTTCCTCTCCCCCAGTCCTGTACTCAGAGATGAAAACCCTAAGTGAGACCTAAATAAGGAAGAGCTTCCCAAACTCCCACTGGGAAAGGAGGGGGATTTTGGAGTAGTTTAACCCCCACTTGCCAAACCTGAGTCCCTTCAGGGCAGTTCTTGCTAAGGGGCCACTTCTGTGGCTGCTGGGATCCTGGAGCAGCGCCTAGGGAGAGCTGTGCTGGGGATGGGACTCAGCTGCCTCACCCAGGAACTGGCTTTTACCTTCAGATCTGTGTTGAGAATCCAGATGAAGGTGCAGACCTTGGCATTGCTGGGACATTTCAGGACGATGAATCCTCCAGGTCCATTCTCACCCCTGTGGAAGAAAGCCAAGAGGGTCAGGCAGAGCCAGGCTGGAATTCTGGCTGGGATTCTCCGTGGATGCACCACGTGGAGCTGAGCCTGGCAGCGAAGGCCAGAGCCCAGTGGGGCAGGAGCAGATGCTGGGAGCCTGGGAAGGTGTGTGCCTTGGCTCCAGGTGCACGAGCCAGCACGGCAGGGCAGCTTTCCCACAGGTGCCTTGGCAGCGCCGGTGCCAGGGCTGCCGGTGGAGCAGCAGCTCTGCCTCTGCATCGTGCCAGCTGTTCCCCACGGGAAGCTTTCCCAGGCACAACCCTGGGAGCAAACAAGAGGTCCCAGGAAGCTCTGTGTGCTCAGGACAGGCTCAGCACTTGTCACTCCAGCCCCCAGATCCTTCCCAGCACCATCTGATCTGTCTCTGAGATGGGAGCTGTGCACACACAGCCCAAATACAGATTTCCCTTCCCTCTTCAGAACAATCTATTTTTGCTGTGTGCCTTCGTTAAAGGATTTTTCCAGGCCCTGAAGTCCCCAGTTCCTAAATAGACTGAGGCAGCTCCAACAGCTCTGAGATAAAATGTCAATTACTTTAACCAGATTATTGAGAAAACCGAAGTCGGAGAGCGCAGCGGCACAGCTGGGCCCTGGCAGGAACAAGGAGTCCTTGTCTGATGAGCCCGACCCCGCTGGGATCCATCACCAGCCTGTCCCTTCAGAAGGGGAGAGGCCAAAGCCCTGCTGAGATTTTGGGAGCTGCTCCGTCCTCGTTTCATCCCTCAATGCCTCAAATTCGGTGAGTGAGTGTTTCACGAGGAGCAAAAGGCATGTGAGAGGCTCGGAGCCACAGCCAGCTGTTTACTGCCCCTCAGAAATTCCTGTTTGGGAATTAACTGTTACATAAACAGGATGTGGGACTGGGATGGAGTTTGTGCTGTTACTGGTCAGCACCTCCACTCCCCTGAGCTGGGAAACGCCCCAGCACTGCTGACAGCACAGAGAGTTTCTCGAACAAAGGGAGACGAACAAGGGAAGCGAGGTTCAGCTCCACAAATAGCTCAGCTTCCTGCAAATCCTGCCAGCAAGGCAGCAGGGCTTGCAGTTAAGTGGCTCTTTGCCTTGAAGCTCTGGAGAAGTGCGTGATCCCAGCTGAAAAAAACAGCACCTGCCTCTCACCTGACGTACTTGGAGAGCGGAGGCTTCAGGCTGTGCGTGGTCGACATCCCTGAGGAAACGTACCTGTCTCTCCTCCTCTCGATCCGACGCACGTTCACGAAATCCCTGCGCAAAGAAAGGGCTTAAAAACACACCAGGGATGTGGAGGGGGGCAGATCCCTCTTTTTGGACTGCTGGGAGAGGCTGTGGCAGGGTTGTGTCAACACAGGGAGGCACAGCCAAGAGCTGATATCTGGGAGCCTGACTGAGCGAGGTTTGGAGTTCTGAGAATCCTGCCAGGAGCGTGTGGAGGAAATTTCAGGGGCTGCTCGCCCTTGGGAGCGTTACCTGCACAGCCAACCAGCCCTACCACGGTGACAGCAGCTCAGAGCATCCCCAGAGGGGTCTTCCCAAGGTTTGGGGGGTGTTTAGGGGCAGTGTGGGATGAACTGACCTTGGGGACACCACCCCGCCGGCAGCTCCGGCCGCCACGTCGTACGAGACGATCGTGTTGTCCTCAACCCGCTGCAAGATCTGGAAAAGGGCAGGGGAAACAAATCAAAATAAGGGAGATTTGCTCAGATTGTGCCTCCAAGCCTGCACGTGCCAAGAGGACACAGCTCCTCCCCCAAATCAGCACCGGGATCAGATCTTTTGGGCCAGAGGGCGACGGGCGGTGCGTGCGCGGATTCGTCTCGTGAGTTTTTGGGGGGCACAGGTGTCACCTCCAGCTCCTCTCCACGAGGCTCAAAACCCCCCCACCAGGCAGAGGCAGGTCTGGCTCAGCCCTGGCCCCCGTCCCTGCCCACCTCTCGGGCTCTTGGCCGGGCACAGGCGTGCAGCCGGCTGCCGCGGAGCGCGCGGAGCGCACGTCTGAGCGGCGGAGATTTAACGCCTCGGTGCCTGGGATCCAGCTCGGCTCCAGCCCTGCCAGCAGCCTGTGTTGGACAGGGAAGCTCCAGCTCTCCGCTCCAAGGAGCTCCTGTGATTAAGCCATCTTTGTCCAGCACGCTCACCTGGCAAGCTGCCACTGTTCTGTTCCACAGGATCATCTTCTCGGGCTGTAGAATCACCTCCTGGTAAACCATTTCAGGGGAGCACTGCAGGAAAGCCTGAGGACAGAGCCAGAGCAGTCAGCCAGCCCCTCTGCTCCCCTTGGGGGAGGTGATTTTTAAGGAAAACAGGGTAAAACACAAAGGACAAGTGGGAATGCAGGTGAGGAGAGGGGTGAGGCCGGCCTGGCTCCCCTGCATGCAAAGCCATGGATGTCACCCCTCTGTCCCAGTGCTCCCAGGGGCCTGGGGAGCACACGTGGGGTCAGGAAGGACACACAAATTTGGGAGTCACTGAGCTCTGCCTGTCTGTGTGCCCCTCTCCCACCCTCAGCAGTTCCCCATGCACCATTACTTTGGGAAGTTGCATTTTTAACTGTTTTGTTTTTTTTTTCCCCAAGCCATTCCAAGCTCCAGCACACACAGCATCCATTCCATTGCCCCCCAGTCCCCACGGGAACGAGGATCTTCAGAGGCAAACACTTAATGCAGCAAAGTGGGGACCATCCAGCTTTTGCTGGTGAACACAGAGCTGCTCCACTGGCAGCTCCTGCCAGCGAGGCAACATATGCACTGGAACAAAGAAAAGCCACGGCAGCACCGACGCTTCATTAAAGCGTGGTTCCCAGCCAAGCCACTCCAGCTTGGGAGAGGGCACAGAGCAAGGCACTTCCGAGCTGCTCTGCCCCGTGCCAGGCAGCAGCAGAGGCACACTCAGCCCTGGCCTTGCTGGCAATTAGTTCCAATTAGCCTCCTTGGTCAGATTAGTCCGAGATGCTGGGGTTGGAAGCGAGTCTTGCAGTCACCTGCTCCCGACTCCACCAGCAGAGTCTGGGGCCTTGGATATTTACTGGGGAGTTTGTCTGCCAGCCAAGGGGTTTTCCTGGAGAGATTCCCTAGTGCTGTTCATCTGTCTCAAGCACAGGGAGCGTGTTCTGCAGCCTGACCTGTGCTGAAAGCTGAGCTGTGGCTCTTCCCCCGTGCCAAAGAGACCAAGGAATCGGCCCAAGGATGTTCTTACCTTTAAAATAAAGGTCTTGCCGTGGAAAGGGATTTCAAAAGTGTAAACAACATCACCAAAGTCCTGTGTAAGAGACGAGAAAGATCAGTAAAAGGGATTGTTTCTATTTAGGGTGAAGTCCTGTCACCCCCTGCAGCCCCCCAATCACCCCCTGCCCCCTACACCAGGCAGTCACCTCAGCAGAAACCACCCCGGGCACATTTCAGTTGGCCATGCCTAAATTTCCATCAACAAAACAATGTCCAGAGAGGCAGCAGGGATGAGACAGAAAAAGAATCCGCCCCGTGCCAGGCTGCAAACCCCACGTCAAGGTCACATTCTCTTTGTAACAGCACTGGGGTGCAAAAGGGGTTTGCTGCCAGAGCTGCTGGTGTTACCTACGGCTGAGAGGAGCCTCCCCTGAGGGGCTGGGGATGGGCAGATGAAAACCTTTCATCGTTAGCCCTGTGTTAAACTCTGATTAGTCTATTTAAATCCATCCCCCTTTGGAAAAAGAAAACAATCTGCCCAGCTAGTTTGGCATCAGACAAAGGATCACTTGACAGGGGAATTTGAAACACCAGATGAGACAGCAGTTTGCAGGATTCGCACCCCCCAGTTGTGTTTGAACCTCGTGAAGCAAGGTTGGGTTTGGGGGGGCAAACCCTTCCTCTTTCTCTCCACTCTTCAGAGAGAAAAAAGAGCTCTGTGCACCCCAGAAAAGTCTGGAGTAGGCAGAGCCACATCCCAAATTTACACCCCAGCTTCCAGGTGCTGGGGAAGGGAGACACCAGCAGCTTTGGGGGTGGAAAGAGCAGTTAGTGTCCCACGTGGGCCAAGACTCCAGTTTGGGACCCCAGCAGGCTCAAAGGCAACTAGCCACGGAGCAAGGGCAGGGCTGGAGCTGTGGGACCAACATTCCCATGGCTCTGCATCCCAAAGGTGAGCCAGCCACCCCTGCCCACCCTCCGGACAGAGGGAGGTGGGAAGGGCCCTCTCCTGTCAAACTGCAAGGCAATTAAAGGTCTAATTAAATAAGAGGGGATTTTACATTTAACTGAACTGGAATAGATTCCTAATTCAATCAGGTAATTGTAACGCTTGTTAATTTTTCATGGCGCAAGGAGGTTTCCAAAGCCTCGTTTGTCCCGGTTTTTGCTAAGCCATCCATGCCCTCTGCCAGCTGGGGAGGAAAAACCACACTTGCATTGTTTTTCTCAAACTTCCAGTTCTCCTCCTGGGCGAGGATTTGGTCCACAACCTCCATGGCCTCTTTGCCTTGTCGGACATATTCCTTTTCCTGGGCAAGAAGGGAGGATTTCATTAGCTGAGCGTGCAGGAAGCTCCAGGAGTGTGTGTGAGGCTGCTCCCCCCCTCCCCGGGCTGGCAGAGGGAAAGGGGATCAGAAATCTCTTAATTTGGGTCACAGAGGCCTCATTTTGAAGCTCCAAGTCACGCTCCCCGCCCTGGCTTGGATCCACACACCAGCTGCTCCCGATGGCTCCTGCCTTACAGGAAGGTTTCCAGCAGGCAAAGGGCTCTGGGATGTGCAGCTTCCTTCCTGGAGGAGCCAGAACTGGGGCTGAACAGGAGCAGGATCTCTTGGAATAGGGCACAAAAGCTGTGCCCAGCCAGGTTTTGGGGAGGTCAAGGGTCACCCCTCAAGCCACGGGGACAGGTGAGGTGATTCCCATCCCAGAATGTGACCAAAGGAGCAGGGATGGAAGGGGGAAGGGAAAGGGACAGGCAGGAGCAGAGCCAGAACACATCCCTGTGGGGTGCTGCAGGGAAGAGCACACAGCCCTGGGGAAGGGGGATAAAGCTGGGGGGCTCAGATGACCCCCTCCTGGGTGGTGGCACAGAGAAGGCTCAGCCACACGTCCCCAGAGCTGAGGGGTCTGGAATGGGTGGGCAGCAGAACCTGATGGGACCACAAGATTGGGGAGACTCCTTCAGCCCCAGATCAGCTGGAGCTGAGGGCAGGGCCAGGCCCTGTTTACCTGAGTTGTCAAGGCCTTCCTCCCCACTCCTTCCTCATCAGACTCGTTGTCTGAGCCTACAGGGAAGCACCAATTAACTCACAGTTAATGAACACCCCACCTCCCTCCCTTCTCGTGGGGGACAGGGTCTGATCCCTGTCCCTCACCCAGCAGGAAGGGCTCTCAGTGAGGATGACTCCCTGAACACCTGCTTGGCTCTCCAGAGGGCTGAGCTCATCCTGGGTGTCAGCTGTACCAGGAACAGTGTTCCAGAGGGCTGAGCTCATCCCAGGTGTCAGCTACACTGGAAAAACTGCTCTGGAGAACTGGGCTCATCCTGGGTGTCAGCTACACTGGGACAACTATTCCAGAGGGCTGAGCTCATCCCTGTGTCAGCTACACTGGGACAACTGCTCCAGAGAGCTGGGCTCATTGTGGGTGTCAGCTACACTAGGAAAAGTGTTCCAGAGGGCTGAGCTTGTCCTGGGTGTCAGCTACACTGGGACAACTGCTCCAGAGAGCTGGGCTCATTGTGGGTGTCAGCTACCCCAGGAAAAGTGTTGCAGAGGGCTGGGCTCATCCCAGGTGTCAGCTACACCTGGACAATCGTGCTGAGATGTCCCCACTCCCACACCAGGAGCTCTCCAGTGCCAGCACAGGGCAGTGACGTGCCACCAGCCCTTATCCCCACCCCCGTGCCCTCACTCCAGGGCAGCATTTTCCAAGCACACAGCTCAGAGCATTTAATCCCAAGCCCACACAAGGCTCCAGCTCCCCAGGCTGGCAGGGATGAGGGCAGCACCAATAAGAAGGGGTCATGTGCAGGGTATGGCAGAGAGGGGAGAGGGGACCCTTTTTCAGTGTCAGGCTCTGCCAAGGTTGGGATAACGAGGCAGAGCTCTGGACAGAGGTGAGGGAGGTGAGGAATTCCATGGTGGGATGAGCATGGGGAGTGAGGTGATGGCACAGGTGACCTTACCTGCAAAGGACTCGGGTGGGGAGTAGAACTGTCCCTCGGAGAGGGCTCGGGGGTACAGCAGTGGCCTCGAGGCTGCAGCCTGGGCTGCCAGGAACCCTGGGAATGGGAGCACAAGGATTTAACACCTGGCAGGCTGTGGGACCCCAGCCCTGCCAAAATACCCCCTTGTTTTTCCTATGTCTTTTCCCACTGACACCAGCCAGCCTCAGCTCCTGTTGCCTCATCTTTTGTCTGAGATGTTTTATCTGCCCCGGAGATCAATGGGCTCTTCTGCCTGTCAAATAATCCAAAGGCGATTAAGCATCTAATTAAATAAGAGCTTCCCCTGGAAGCAATTTGGAACCTGAGCCTAATCCAATAGAGGCATTAAACACTTGATCATTTTTCAATTTAAAGCCTCCTTGCAAGACCCAAACATCCTCTGGTGCTTTCCAGTCAGAGCATTTCTGATTGAGCCCTGCCTGACAAATGCCCCTCTTAGTTTGGTGCCACTTCCCAGACAGTGACTCCTGGGAGAGGGACAAAGCAGGCCAGCTCCCTAGAAGGACCCTGGAAGTTACAGGGTGATGTGTGAAGCATGAGGTCAGCCCCAATCCCTGCTCAGTGTGACCTGAGAGACCACAGGCTGCAGAATTTCACACCCCATAATTCACCCCGTGCCACAGAATGTGTCTGTGACTCCAGCAGCCCCCCTGGAAAGGGCTCCAGCCAGATCCAAACACAGATATCAGAGACAGGGAGTCCAACACTCTGCCTGGCATTTGCCTCCCTGTTTCCAAACACTTTCTCCCAAGCAGAGCTGAGCTCTGTCTCCAGCACGTCTGGCTGCAGGATCCAGCCATTGGGAAATCTGGCACATTTTTCTCTCTTCTGTTAAAAGATGCTCTTTATAATTTGGTATATTTTCTTCCCCTGAAGGGACTTGTTGACCATAACAGAACTGAGTCAGGCACTTCCCATCCCAGCCAGCCTGGAGATCTCTTTCCCAGAAATGTCAGATCAAGGTGCTGCCAGAACAGGCCTGGTTGGATTTGTCCAACTCCTACCAGAGAGGAGCAAAAATACTCACATCGTTCCTCTTCTGCTTCCTGAGTTAGGACTTTAAAATCCAGGAACCAGGTCTCCAGCCAAGCAATAACAAATGAGACGATGGGAAGTAAATACCCAAAAGCCCCTTTGGTCAGAAGCTGTGTGGAAAGAAGCAGAAACCCCAGGGAATGACCCAAAGAGGGAATAAAAACAGCACCGAGAAATCGCAAGTGACTTCCTGCGAGCCCAGGGAAACCAACCTCGGACAGGATGACCTTGACAATCAGGAAGGCACTGGATACCAGTGTAGTGACCTGAAAAATAAGTGGACAGAGCTCAGATCCCTGAGAAGCCCAGGAGGGGAGGGAAAACCCCCCAGAGGAAAGGCTGGAGTGGCTCCTTACCGCGATGACCCACCAGTGGCGCAGGCGGACGACGGCGTAGCCCAAGAGCAGCACCACAAATCGAAACACAGCCAAGAGCTGCAACAACAAACACCCAGCAACGCCAGTCACTGCCCTTGCCCCTCTGCCAGGTGCTGGGAGGGCAGGGAGGGACAGGTGCCAGCTCCTGGGGAACAGATGGGTCAAGGCTGCACCAGGAGGATTCACCGAGGTGGGCAAGGGGAGAGCCCAGACCCTCCTGGCTCCACTGAGCTCCAGAGCCCGGCAGGAGGCTGAGATACTCACAAAGATGTCAAAGAAAGAGGTCTTGAATTTGTAGTTGATGATTTCATCCTTCAGGTTCTCCTTGATGCCCACCTTGGTCTGAGGGAGACAAGGAAGCAGGAAGCTGTTGAGTGCACTGATAAGAAATTCATGGGAGGAGGAGCTAAGCAGTGCCCGGGGTTATGGCCAGGTCAGGGAATGCACCTGGAGTAGAAATGGTCCCACAGGCCCAGTGTGGGCTCCTCTGCCAGCACAGGACCAGGAAGGATCCCATGGCACATTTCCTGCCTGGATTCACACCACATTTTCCCCTGGAAACATGGATTCACACCCAGGAGCATGAGTGGGGCAGGGGGAACATGAAACACCTTTAGGTGGGGATTTCCAACACCCAAATCCTTGGCTCAGCACAGCCAGTGCCAGCAGTTCCTCACAGCCTGGAATCCCTGGATGGACACCTGCCACTGCTGCCCACCTCATCCAGGTGGCAGATCCCAGAGGAATGGCAGGAGACATGGAAAAAATGGAAAACCACAGGAAAAATGCTCCTCAGGAACCTTCACTAACACACTGAACATCTTCCTGTGGGGGCTGTCAGGGTCACTGAGGACCTGGGGGGGATTTAAAGATCCTCCTCATGCAAAGCACTGAGGGGTCCCTTCTCCCTCCAGCTGGCTTCCCACAGCTCACAGCAGTGCTCCAGGAAATCTGATGGAAGAAGGGAACCAGCAGGATCAAACGTGCTGGCAAAGGGCAAGAGGGAGGAGAGGGGGATGCACAGCCCAGGCTGCAAGGGAATCTGAGAGAGGCAAAAACACTGGGATTGACAGGAGTGTGGAAAAAGCTCATCCTGAGATAATCCAGGGTCTGACAGCCCTGCTTCTTTGGCCACCATAAATCCTGGGAGGCTGGAATGGCTGTCTGTGAGGAAGTGGAGGGCTCAGGTAACTGGAACAAATGCTTCACCTTTAGGCTATGGCTTTGGATGGAGCCCAGCTGGCTGGGAGCTGGCAGAGCCAGCAGCTGGTGGATCTCAGGCCAGTCCTTGGCAGCCAGGGTGTCCTGGCACTCCAAGGGCAGCCACTGGGAAAGGATCCCTCTGGGTCAGGGCTCTGGCTTCAAACCCAGGAAGAGGATTTTAAAATCCTGAAAAAGAGGGGGGCGAAGCTGGGCTCTGCCTCCAGCTGACCTGTGGCCAGGGGACTCAGGCCAGCTTGGCTGAGTGGCCACTGAGAGCTTCTTCCCCCCCTCTGTGGCTCCATGGGATGCTGCAGGAAGGAGGAGACACAGAAAAAGCTTTGGGTGATGCTTTTTGGGGGTGTTTCTGGTGGATGGGCTGTGAGGAAGGAGATGGTGGGTGCCAATCCCTGGCAGAGGAGTGTCCTGGCACTCCAAGGGCCACTGGGATTGGGAAGGGATCCCTCCCAGTTTGGGATGGGGTTTAATATACAACAAAGGGGTAAAAAAAGGGGGGTGAAGCTGGGCTGTGCCTCCAGCTGACCTGTGGCCACTGGACTTGGGCCAGCTTGGCTGAGTGGCCACCAAGAGCCTCATCCCCACACCCTGACTCCACGGGATGCTGCAGGAAGGATGAGACACAGGGAGAGCTTCTGGGGGGTGTTTTCAGCTTAAACACAGGCAGATGAACCACCTGAGGCATCTCCCTGGCTTTGAGCACCCAGCCTGCACAATTACAGTTTGCTTTTAACGAGGGGCAATTTGCTGGGCTTATCTCACAGCGAAGGAAACGGTAGGATAAGTTTAAAAAAAAAAAAAAAGGCATTAGTCATGATATCAAACCGTTGCTCTTCATAACCAGGCAAATAAGCTGCTCTAATGGCTTTAAATATGCAGCATCTCAGCTCGGGGCCCAAATATCAGCACTTAGTCACTCATTAATGGCTACCTGCACGACCCACGCTCTGCATCACCCTGGTGACCGAGCCAGGATTATCTCCCGGGGGCTGGAATTTGGGATTCCAGCACCTCTCCCGTGAGAGGACTGGGAAGAGGGCAGGGGGCTGGGGTCCAAAGTGGGCGGGCAGGACACCGTCGGCACGGCTGGAATGCTGGCTGGGAGATGGTTTTTCCTAAGGGGGGTGGGGAGCAGGGGGCTCTGGGCAGGGTGAGGAGCTGCTGGCCTGGACAGTCTGTTAAGTGCAGACACCCAGAGATAAGGAGGGCAGAGATAAGAGCTGCTGAGGGAGCAGCAGGATCCAGTGCTGATAAATGCAGGGTCTATCTGTTCATCTCTGCTCCGGGTGTTCCAGGGGAGGACATGGAGTACCTGAAACCAGCCAGGGCCGGTTCAGGGAAAATAAAAACAAAATATAGCCCAGGGAGGGATTTGGACTTGGTGGGACTGAGGTAAATAAACTGGATTTTCCCTGTTGTTGCAACACAGAGCAAACACAGCAGTTTGTGAGTTGCTTTGGAGAGAAGCAAACCACTCACATCCCCCTCAACAATCCCTTGGGAAGTGGAGCAGCACCTCCAGCTTCCCCAAACTGAGATTAGCAGCAGAATTTTGGGATCAAAGCCCCTGGAGGATCCTCCCCTGCTCTTCTGATGCTCTGAAAACGCGGCAGCAGCAAACCCAGGGGAGCAGGAGGGGAATTTGGCTCAACTTGGTGATTCCAGAGGCCCTGGATCTTGTTACAGCACAACAAAGGGAGGTGTTAACAACCCTGGACAGCCCCGACAAAGCCCCGGGGCAGGAAACGAGCTGGACTTTAGTTGATATTAAAGAACGGCGGCTCCTTGGCCAGCGCTGGGAACAGCAAACAAAGATCTGTCCCAGGAGTGCAGGAACAGAGCAATTAACGCAGGGAACCGAGTTTAAAAAGGGGCAAAGATTCCCGGCTTTGCTTCCTCCGACTCACATTGAGCTCGATGATCCACAGCAGGGAGATGAAGAGCAGGTCGAAGGTGACGAAGAGGCAGAAGGTTCTCCTCACATCCGAGATGGCTTTTCTCTTCTCCGGGGAGAGGAAGTACGGGGAGAAGCCCTGGCTCTGGGAGAGGGAGGAGCTGATGGAGGCGATGGCGGGGAGGCTGCGTTCCAGGTCGTGCTGCAGGTCCGTGGGCTTGCTCATCCTCCGGGGACATCGGCCACCAGGGCAGTGTCACCTGCGGGGACACACCAGGGGACCCTCAGGGCTTGCCACACCCCTGCTCCTGTCCCGATAATCCCAGGAGCAAATCGGATCCCGAGGAGAAATCAACCCTGGGAGGGGGGTCAGGCCATGGCACAGGTGCCCAGAGAAGCTGTGGCTGTCCCTGGATCCCTGGAAGTGTCCAGGTTGGATGGAGCTTGGAGCAACCTTGGAGCACCTTTCTCGGTGGAAGGTGTCCCTGCCATGGCAGGGGTGGGACTGGATGGGCTTTAATATTAGTTTATATTAAAGAATATCTATTTCCATGTTTTAATGCCGTGGCAATAGGAAAAGGGGCTCTAAAGCCCATGGAGATACAAAGGTAGCACGGAAAGGAGCTGCAAATCCCATGAAAATGTTGTGGAAGAAGCAAAAAGGGGTCCCAAACCCCATGGAGACACTGTGGACGCAAGAAAAGGGGTCTGAGGATGTTTTGGGAGCACTCCCTGAAATCAGGGAGCCAGCCCACCCTTCCCTCTGCAGGGAAGGCAAAGCTCAGGGAGCTGGGCATCCCATTGGAACAGATCCCAGCCTGCACAGCCAGGAAAGAACCCTGGGCCTGGTGCCTGACTGGGCCAGGCACAGCAGCAGGGAGGCAGCAGGGAAGGAGCTGCTCTGTGTTCCAGGGGCAGGGAAGGAGCTGCTCTGTGTTCCAGGGGCAGGGAGGCTGCAGGGAAGGAGTTGCTCCATGTTCCAATGTAAGGGAAGGTGCTGCACCACGTCCCAGGAGCAGGGAAGGAGCTGCTCCATGTTCCAGGGACAGAGAAGGAGATGCCCCACGTCTCAGGAGCTGCCCTGTGTCCCAGTGTTAAGGAAGGAGCTGCTCCGTGTTCCAGGGGCAGAGAGGCTGCAGGGAACAAGCTGCTTCATGTTCCAGAGGTAGGGAAGGAGCTGCTCCGTGTCCCAGTGTTAGGGAAGGAGCTGCTCCATGTTCCAATGTAAGGGAAGGAGCTGCTCCATGTCCCAGGAGCAGGGAAGGAGCTGCTTTGTGTCCCAGGAGCTGCCTCGTGTCTGGGAAGGAGCTGCCCCATGTCCCTGGGTTAAGGAAGGAGTTGCCCCATGTCCCCGTGTTAAGGAAGGAGCAGCTCTGTGTGCCAGGGACAGGGAAGGAGCTGCCCCATGTCTCAGGAGCTGCCCCGTGTCCCCGTGTCTGGGAAGGAGCTGCCCTGTGTCCCAGGAGCAGGGAAGGAGCTGCTCCATGTCCCCGGGTTAAGGAAGGAGCTGCCCCGTGTCCCAGGAGCTGCCCCGTGTCCCAGGAGCAGGGAAGGAGCTGCTCCATGTCCCCGGGTTAAGGAAGGAGCTGTCCCGTGTCCCAGGAGCTGCCCCGTGCCCCAGCCCCGCCTGGCAGTGCCGGGCACACCATCCCAGCACGAGTGAGGTGTTGGGAGGCCGGGGCTGTTTTCCTGCAGCTGTGCCAACCATTGTCTTGGAATTTTTCCTCTCCGTCAGCGCAGCACAAGGAGGCCCCTGTGGGAAGGGAGGGTGACACGCCGGGGACAAACACGGAACGAGGATCCCGAAACAGGTCGGGCCAGGGATCTGTCAGCTCTGCTGACCTTCCAGTCACCCATGGCAATGCCACAGCCACAAACTCCTTCCCTGCTAAATCCTCCTGCTCAAGGATGTTTTGGCTCCCAAAAAAAAAACCCCTGGGTTGCTGGGTGGTGTGAGCTCCTGCCTCGGCAGTTCTGTGCCTGCTGGGATCCCAGTGAGGTTTCAAACGCCACTGGTGACACCCAGCAGGCTGCAGTGCCCACGGGAAAAGGAAAAAGGTCCCAAGGCTGTGCCCAGATCTGTGGGAAATCCCAAGGGACGTAAAGCCAGCCAGCAGCACCTGCAGGAGCCGAGCACAGCCCGATTTGGGGCAGTTTGGGGCAGTTTGGATCCCTGAGCCAGCGGTTTTTGCATCCCACCCCCGGGGAAGTGCCGGGGCTGGGAAGGGAACAAAGCTGGACTGCTGTCAAATCCCTGTTAGTCCCTCTCAGAGGTGCTCGGGAAGGAGCTGGAATCCTTGTCACTTCGGATCAGCCCCTCCACACGCCGGGCCCGGCTGGAAGTGACAAAAGTTAAGGACATCTGTGAGGGATAAATAATAAATCCCCCCTGGCCGGGGCTGCCGCCGCCTCCTCCTCCCCTCCGACAGCGCTTTGCACTTAGGCAGCCCCGCCCCGACTTTCACAGCGCTTTAAAATCACCCGCAGAAACTCCAGGGATGCCAAGAGGGGTCACAATGGGGTGCTGGGACACGGCAGGACACGGGGACACAGCACCAGAGCATCCCAGCCTTGCCGAGGAGGTTTGGGCCGTTTGGGACACACACACCCCTCCCAAACCATCCAATTCCCGAGGGAAAAATACAAATTGTGGGGCAGAGCAGGAATGTTTGAATCCCACACAAGCCCCCCCTGCACTGGAGCTGCTCCCTGTGGCAGCTGAAAGCTCGGAGCAGGGGCTGGGTGTGGAGGAACGTGGCTGTTCCTGGGTGACAGATGAATTATTGAGCTCTGCTCCATTATGCATTCCAGCATCCTCCGCATCCCGCTCCGGCAGCCCCGGCGGGGAGGGGTCAGCGGGGGGTCGGGCTCTGCTCCCAGGGAATGAGGGATGGGCTGAGAGGGGAAAGCCCCAAGCTGTGCCAGGATGGGCTCAGGGTGGACATCAGGGGGATTTATTCATGAAAGGACAATCAGGGTTTGGGAGGGGCTCTGCAGGTGTTGGTGGAGTTGGGAAAAATTGTGTGGATGTGGCACTCGGGGACACGGGTTAGGGGTGGCAGGGCTGTGTATGACAGCCCTTAAGCCATGGCAGGGTTAGGGATCTTGGAGGGCTTTTCCAGCCTAAAGGATTCCAGGATTCCATCCCAGTGAGGGGCAAACACTGCTGGGGGGCCACTCCGGGTGACAGATCACAGCCCAGGGGACATTGTGTGAGGCAGATCACAGCCTGGGGGACATCCCCAGTGACAGATCACAGCCTGGGGGACATCCCAAGTGACAGATCACAGCCTGGGGGATATTGTGTGAGGCAGATCACAGCCTGGGGGACACCCTGAGTGACACATCACATCCCAGGGGGACACCCTGAGTGACAGATCACAGCCTGAGGGACACCCCAAGTGACAGATCACAGCCTGGGGGACATCCCAAGTGACAGATCACAGCCTGGGGGACATCCCAAGCGACAGATCACAGCCTGGGGGATATTGTGTGAGGCAGATCACAGCCTGGGGGACACCCTGAGTGACAGATCACAGCCTGAGGGACACCCCAAGTGACAGATCACATCCCAGGAGAACACCCTGAGTGACAGATCACAGCCCAGGGGACATTCTGGGTGACAGATCACACCCAGGGGAGACCCCAGGTGACAGATCTCAGCCCAAGGGACACTCCAGGAACCCTTTGGGGCTTCTCTGACCTGAACAAAGGGGATTTTGAGATTTTTGGGGAAGGATTTTTGCCAGGGAAACCTCCCAGTTTGGGGATTAGGAGGTGACAGAGCTGCAGGGATGGGGGTGACACCACATCCCACAGATCCCAGCAGGAGCAAACACAGACACGGTGAAATCCTGATCCAGCATTCAGCACCAAGAGCCAGCAAAACCCCATCAGCCCAAAACCCCATCAGCCCAGTGCCATCACCCCAAAACCCCATCAGTGCAGTGCCACCATCATCCCAGTGCCACCACAGCCCAGTGCCAGCACCCCAAAACCCTGTCAGCCCAGTGCAAGCACCTCAAAACACCACCAGCCCAGTGCCAGCGCCCCAAAACCCCATCAATGCAGTGCCACCATCATCCCAGTGCCACCACCCCAAAACCCTGGCAGCCCAGTGCAAGCACCCCAAAACACCATCAGAACAGTGCCACCACCCAAAAACCCATCAGCCCAGTGCCACCACAGCCCAGTGCCAGCGCCCTAAAACATCATCATCCCACTGCCACCATCGTCCCAGTGCCACCACCATTAACCCAGTGCCACCACCATCAGCCCAGTGCCAGCACCCCAAAACCCTGTCAGCCCAGTGCAAGCCCCTCAAAACACCACCAGCCCAGTGCCAGCGCCCCAAAACCCCATCAATGCAGTGCCACCATCATCCCAGTGCCACCACCCCAAAACCCTGGCAGCCCAGTGCAAGCACCCCAAAACACCATCAGAACAGTGCCACCACCCAAAAACCCATCAGCCCAGTGCCACCACAGCCCAGTGCCAGCACCCTAAAACATCATCATCCCACTGCCACCATCGTCCCAGTGCCACCACCATTAACCCAGTGCCACCACCATTAACCCAGTGCCAGCACCCCAAAACCCCCTCAGCCCATCTCCAGCAGCACACTGGCCACCAAAACACCTCCAGGGGCAGTGCCAAGGCATGTCCCAAGCCTGCCACCCCAAATCCCCTGTGTCACCCCCTCCCTGAGCCCCTCGTTAGCCCCGTGTCTCGTTAATGACCCATCTCTCACTCAGGAGCTTTTCCCACCCCGTGACTCCACTTCTCCTTCCTCCTGCCACGCTTCCCTCAGGCTCATGTGACAATTCCTGCTGTCCCCTCTGCTGTCCCCTGTCCTGGGAGGTGCAGCCCAGGGTGGGGAACACCCTGGGAACACAGGGTGGGGAAAATATGCAGCCAGGTGAGAGAACACCTGGAGCAGCAGAGGGATGGAGACCCCCCCCTGCCGCCCTGGGCACTGAGGGGTATCTGAGCTGCCCTTCAAAACACCAAAAAAAAAAGATCAACATTAACCCAGACACCCAAATCCAGCCAAAAATAAAAAACTGGGAAGGATTCAACGGGGAAAAGCATTGGGGAAGGTTTGGTTCAGTGCAAAGTGGGGACATGGGGACCCTGGGGGACACTGAGACCCCCTGGGAGGACAATGGGACCCTAAGAGGACACTGGGACCCCAGGAGGATACAGAGACCCCCAGGAGGACACTGAGACCCCCCAGGAGGACACCGAGTCCATCAACATCCCGTTCCCACCGGGATTTGGGTTGGGATGGGCTGGATGTGGGGTGGGATGTGGGGCAGGATTTCAGTCGGGATTTGGGTTGGGATGTGGGGCAGGATTTGGGGCAGGATTTGGGTTGGGATTTGGGGCAGGATTTGGCTTGGGATGCGGGGCAGGATTTGGGCTGGATTTTGGTCGGGATGTGGGGCTGGGTTTGTGTTGGGATGTGGGGCTGGATGTGCAGCTGGATTTGAGCAGGATTTGGGGCTGGATTCGGGTCGGGATTTCAGTCAGGATGTGGGGCAAGATTTGGGTTGGGATGGGCAGAATTTGGCTCGGGATGTGGGGCTGGACATTGGTCAGGATTTGGGGCTGGGTTTGGGTCGGGATATGGGGCTGGATGTGCAGCTGGATTTGGGTCGGGATTTGGCTGGGGATGTGGGGCAAGATTTGGGGCAGGATTTGGGCTGGGATTTGGTCGGGATGTGGGGCAGGACTTGGGGCTGGGTTTGGGGCAGGATCTGGGGCTGGATGTGCAGCTGGATTTGGGTCGGGATGTGGGGCAAGATTTGGGGCAGGATTTGGGCTGGGATTTGGCTCGGGATGTGGGGCAAGATTTGGGGCTGGGTTTGGGCTGGGTTTTGGTCGGGATGTGGGACTGGGTTTGGCTCAGGACGCAGGGCAGGATTTGGGGCTGGGTTTGGGGCAGGATTTGGGGCTGGGTTTGGGTCGGGATTTCGGTCAGGATTTGGGTCCCGATTTTGGGCTGGATTCGGGTCGGGATTCGGAACCCTCGGGACACAGACAGAGGCTCCACGCTGCCCCCTCCCCGCAGCCAAACGGCCCCGGGGTGGTCCCGGCGCTCCCCTTCCCCCGGGGCTTTCCCACCTGCCCGGGATCCCCGCCCGGAGCCCCCCGGTACCCCGGGATGAGGGAACGGCAGTGCCGGGACCCCCGGGCCGCTCTGCCCTCCAAGGAGCGCCCCGGGCCCGCTACTCCCGTTCCCCGCAGCCTCGGGGAGCTGACAGCGGTAGGAGATGCCCGGGGCGATTCTCGCCGCTCTCGCTGCCGGGATCCCGGTGAAGCGGGGCTAGGGCGGATAACGGGACCGGGACCGGGGCCCGAACGGGCTGCCCGAGGCCTCCCGAAGCCGTGGGGCCCGGTGCCGGTAACAGGACCTGAGGCCAGGACTCGCAGTGACAGCCCCGTCCCGTCCCGTCCCGTCCCGTCCCGCTCCCACCGGCGGCTGCGCCCCCGGGAGCGGCACCGAGGCCGCGCCACCGGAGCCCGCGCGTAGCCCGGCCCCGCCAGGGCCCGGAACGGAGCTGAGCCCCCCGGAGCGTCCCCGTGTCCCCCTCCCCGGTACCTCCCGGTGCCGGTGCCGCTCGCCGCCGCTTCCGGGCCCGCCGCCACCTCTGACCCCGGAAGGGAAACCCCAGAGCGAGGCTGCGCCGGCAGCGACCATCGCCGGCCGCGGGGGGAGCGGGACAGACCATTCACTGCGGGAGGGGGGACAGTGGGGCTGGGAGAGACCATTCATAGAGGGGGGGGTCTGTGGGGCTGGGAACGAGCGTTACCCACGGCAGGGGGAATTGTGACTAGGAGATACCATTTTTCAGGCGGGAGATCAATAAAGCCGGGAAGGACCTTCCCAGTAGGGCTGGGAGAGACCATTCCAAAAGGAGGGAATCCGTGGGGTGAGGACAAAACCATCCCTGTGTGGAAGTGGGGGTGTCTATGGGGTGGGAGAGACCATTCCCCTCCATGGGGGTGTGCCAGTGGGTCTGGGAGAGACCATTCTCCAGTGGAGGGGTGACCTTGGAGGGTGGGAGAGACCATTGCGTGGTGGGGGAGTATCCGTGGGGCTGGGAGAGCCCATTCCCCACATGGGGGGAGTCAGTGGGGTGAGGGACAGCCCATTCCCTGTGGGAGAGGGGGGTGTTCATGGGGCACCCCACACCCCCAGTCTGTCACCCCCCCACAAAGACCAGACTCCCCCCCCCCACCCAAAAGGGAACCAGAGCCCCCAGTCCCCCAAAACACTCTCCAACCTCTGTACAGCCGTTTATTGTGGGCAGGGGGCTCTGCTCGCTTGGGGCCGGGGGGCAGCAGCCAGGGGGGGCCCGGACCCCGCCAGCACCCGGGGGTCCCATCCCCGGCTCCTGCGCCGGCAGCCGGGGGGGCACGAGGCCCGCGGGGAGGGGGCGGCCGTGGCCGGGGGTCCCGATGCGGCCTGGCGCGGCCCAGCATGGCGCAGGGCCCAGCATGGCGCAGCACGGCCCAGCACGGCCCAGCACGGCCCAGCATGGACCACCATGGACCAGCATGGCCCAGCACGGCCCAGCATGGACCACCATGGACCAGCATGGACCAGCATGGCCCAGCACGGCCCAGCATGGACCACCATGGACCAGCATGGCCCAGCACGGCCCAGCATGGACCACCATGGACCAGCATGGACCAGCACGGCCCAGCACGGCCCAGCATGGACCACCATGGACCAGCATGGCCCAGCACGGCCCAGCATGGACCAGCATGGACCAGCATGGCCCAGCATGGCACGGCACAGGGCCCAGCACGGCCCAGCACGGACCAGTATGGCGCAGCACACGGCGCACGGCAGGCGAAGCGCAGGCAGCGGGCGGGGGGCAGCCGGGGGGCACAGGCGAAGCTGCGGGGGCCGGGGGGTGCAATGGGGGCCGGTGCCCGGTGCCCGGTGCCAGCTAACTGGTGCCCAGCGGGAAGGTGGGCGAGTGGCGCTCGGTGCCGATGGGGCGCGAGGGCACCTCGGCGAAGCCGACGTGTCGCCGCTCTGGGGACGCAAACGCGGCGTCAGCACCCGGCTGTCCCCGTCAGCAGCGGCCGCGGTGGCGCCGGGGACAGCGGGGATGGTGGGGGGGTGACAGCCCACGTACCCCCGGTGCCACCGTCCTGCTCCTGCCCCGGCTCCTCCTCGTCACCCTCCGCTCCCTCGGGATCCTCGGGGATCTCTGACACCGTCAGCGACTTCAGGTCCTCCTCGCGCTCGTCGATGCCACCGGCGAAGGACACCTTCTGCCCGCCTGTGGGGACAGCACGGTGGCCCCGGGGACACACAGCGTGAGGTGGCACAGCTGAGGCACGGGGGGGACGCGGCCCCAAGCCCCGGTGCCCTCCTGCCATCCCCGGGTGGGTGAGCGGCCACGTCCCCTCGCTGCCCCTCTGTCCCTGCCATCCCCGTCCTCCTGTGACCCCTGTCCTGCTGTCCCCATACTCCTGCCACCCCTGTCCTCCACTGTGTCTGTTCTCCCGCCATCTCTCTGCCATCCTCCCCCTCACTGTCCCCCCATCCCCTTCCACCTCCATCCTCCGGCCACCCCTGTCCTCCCGCCATCCCTGTGCCATCCCTGTCCCCCCCACTGTCCCCCCATCCGCCC